CACTAGCACACTAGCACACTAGCACACTAGCACTAGCACTAGCACTAGCACTAGCACTAGCACTAGCACTAGCACTAGCACTAGCACTAGCACTAGCACTAGCACTAGCACTGGCACTGGCACTGGCACTGGCACTGGCACTGGCACTGGCACTAGCACTAGCACTAGCAGTAGCACCACTACTACTACTACTACTACTGCCACTACTACTACTACTACTACTACTACTACTCCTACTACTACTACTACTACTACTACTACTCCTGCTGCTACTGCTACTCCTGCTGCTACTACTACTACTACTACTACTATTACTCCTACTACTACTGCTGCTGCTGCTCCTACTACTACTACTACTACTACTGCTACGTCACTGCTACTACTACCACCGCTACTCTTCTCCTGCTCCGCTTCATGTTTTGGCAGCAACTAGCAAGAACAACAACAAACGTTGCAGACAATTCCACGTGTGTGGTCTCCCGAGTGTTGATGTCGCCCAACCGATCGATGCCCAATTCTTGGAAAAGCACAGGCTTGGAGAAAGGGGTCGAGTTGTTCCAATAGATCGGGAACCTCAGCACACACACACACACAAACATCTCCAAAATTCGGCTGCAAATCAACCCATGCGCCGCATCCAAGTCTACATACGACCGAGGCTCTTATCGCCTTCCACACCGCCACAAAGATCCGGGTCCTGGCTTGGCACAGAGTGATCGCCTTGCCCAGCATTTACGCACGTGTGCAGCCAAGTCACCGGCAAGAGGCAAAAGGCAACAAATGGTGCGAGCTCTCGCTCATATAGAGCCTCGCAAGGCTGGCATGCAAGATCAGGCCGCGGGCGGGCGTTTCACTAACCCTGCATTTGCCCGGCATCAAACACGGCAGGTTCTCCAAGGGCAATACAGAATCGGTGCAATTAACATACCCGCTGCCACAAGAGTGTCAGCAAAGTCTCTGCCATCACCTTGCCTTGGGGAAGAAAGTGAGTTCCCGAACGCAGGCTGCCTGACCAGCTGGTTGGCTGCAAACATATGTACGCACATGTCTGTATGCACATGTCTGCCTGTATGTATGGAACTCTGTCTCGCTGCATAGAAGCTGTGGTATCCTTTCTGTTCGGCAGCGATGTTTGAAGGTCAAACCACAAAAACCCAACGCTGCGCTCGTCACTGTGGCAGGACCGATGTGCCCCACGGCAGCTAAACAAATAGGTAGACACATAAACATCATAAAGTCAAGAAGTAATCATCCACTCGAAGGTCGTGCATGGCGGTTTGCACGACTATCCACACTGCAGCGGATGTGCAGATGGCGCGAAACAGCATGCATCAAATAAACAGAAGTCGCACCTGACTTTCGATGGTTTCCGCTTCTTGGACACAGCTCCTGACGCAAGGCATGGTACCAAACACCAACAAGTGCAACCTCACATGCGGCTTGTTCTGTGAGAGATGACTGTTGCTTTCATCTCACATGGGAAGCTTCACCTGTGAGAGACTCTGCCCCAGCACCCAACAAGGTCTCCTATATCCCGACGCTGGCCGCCCTGGCTGCGGAGGCTTCGTCATCTGCTCCGTGGACACGTTGACAGGCAAATGGCCAATTCCAGCCAGCGTCAGACTCGTGGTGCCGCCCCCACACAGACAGCAAAGCTTGTCTAGATGGAAGTCTTCATCGTCGTAGCGGCGCTCGCCACATTCACCAAAGAACGTTTCATAATCTACGCAAGTGGACCCGTCTGTGTCGACGGCCCCTGCATCCGTGTCAATGCACTTCGGCAAACTGCACTTGAAAAACGAGTCGCCCACGGTCTTACGCAGCTCGCTCTTCTTCACGTAAGATGTATCGTTGTCACCGAAGTACCAAACCAGGGCATAGTCGCCACTATCCACTGCTTCAAGCGTTGCATCATACCAGAAGCCGTCTTTTCTCCAAAATGCTTGAAGTGTATCGTTGATTTCACACGGTAGAACCAGGCCGTCAGCATTAGCTTGGAAGGCTGTGAAGACCCTTTCATACCTTGGAGGTAAGGGGCGCAACAAGCCAAAAGAAGATGCATGACCTTCGCGGCATGCCGATCCCAAGTTGACGTGCGCTAAAGCTAAAGGTGCCACACCGTGACTAAAGTAGGACAAGATGCACCGAAGACATATCGACATGACGTCTGGTCGCGCTTGCATACTGGGCATCCAGTCGCTCAGCCTCGGGACGAGAACTCGGAGGTTCCGACATGAGCCTCTGCAGGAGGAAGCAGTATATTGTATATTATATGTTATATATTATATACTATATATTATAGGCCTCGTCATAAGTCCAATGTCCATCCTTAGTTGCAGTTGGCCGGAGGTGCCATCGCACAGGCAGAAAAAACGCAACGGCAAGGACAGTCACAGCGTACAACAAGCAATGGCAAGCAAACACAGAGAGCGAGAGAGAGGGGGAATGAGAGACGGAGACGATGAAGTCTGAACCAAATGTCCCCGTCCAAGTCCAGCATGCTGAAATTCGTCAGCAGCACGACCTTGATATAACCAGCAGCGCATGGGGGTCATCAAACATATCACTCCAGGCCCCTCCATCTTGCACCTGCTTCGGTTAAGGTGTTCCTGTGCTACGGCACCGAGAATTCAAAAAATCCGTTCCAAGTCAAAGATCCAAGCTTACCAAGACCAAGTACAGTGGAAAGGTGCTCTCAGAAACTCGGCATGTTGCCTCATCGGAGGAACAACTCAAGCCGGATCGTCCAGGATTGAAGGGCCCAACGCCAGCCGTCACCTCGAAGCCTCAGGAAAAGATGTTACCTGGACCCCAAAGATACGCAGAATATTAGCTTTCTATAGGTGTTGGGCCATTCTTTTGCATGCTTTTGGAGGTTTAAGTTTTTTGCTTTTTTGACACCTCTTTTCCGTCCGCACAATCCGATTGGTGGGAATGCCTATCAGGCGGAGGCGATGGGCCCCAAGGACAAGCTCTGCGGATTCAACCACCTACCACATTTCCCTTCCCCCTATGCTCTCAAACGTGCTTGGGCACAGCCCTGTCTTGCCCAGGGAGGTTTAGGTAGTGTTTAGGGTTTAAGGCTGTTTGGGTTTGGGCGCTCACAATTCGGACAGTCCAGGCGAGGCATGTGTCTTTGGGTCGGCTGGGTGAAAGCATTCAACTGGCCTGGCGAGATTCAGAATTCCAGCATGCGCTATCGCCCTGCTGAAGGATTCAGGGTGCAGAACAGGGTGTCTCAACACGCAAACCTTGCGCAACAGACGATGATCTCGAGGGCTAATTAGCGATCCTCACTGCTTGAACCCCCTTTCGGATTGACTCTCAGACAGGCTCAAGTTCCATGCACAAGGCGCACAAGCTCGTCCCTTCGCCGCCAAAGCGGTCGAGCAGGACCACGTCTGCATCCCGCTCCTCGTGTCAGCTTTTTCCAAGATGCTCGAAGTTATCGAAGCAGGTCGTTTATGAGGGTTTAGGGCCGGGCATATGTAGGGCTTTGGGCTTGTAGGGTATAGGGTGTTCTCCATTCTTCGAACATGAAAATGCAAGAGTGGGATCAAGCCAGTCCTCGGCAAGTTTTCCACTTGCACGGGAGGAACTTTGCTTAGAGGGATCCCCTCCGAAAAGAATTTTGCGAGGTGTAGTGAAAAGCAATGCTGGAAGCCCGGCCGAGGCACAGATCCGTTAATCTTCTGCCACAACAGATACACGACGACATACTGGGCAAGGAAATTGAGCACCAGCAGCCACCAAGGTTTCATGTAGATCCGGCCTCACGCTGTGTCACATGCGGCGCCAAAGTCGCGTCATGCAGCATGCAGTGGTTGGTGTTGATAAAAAGTTCCAGATTCTGACTTCATATATAGTTATCTGTCTGACATACCTCTACCAAACTTGCATATCATCTGGCTGTGCCAAACTGAAGACGCATGCATGCGACCCTGCCTGTGTGGCTTTTGAGAAACGATAACAAGAAGTTGTCGTAGGCCGATCGTGCGAGCTCCTTGGCTGCAGCCGCATGGAGGAGCAGGACTGGGGGCATCCCATTCCGAAATGGCAGACACGCAGGACGAATTGCATCCAAAGCGACGAGGTCAGTATATCGTCTGCATTCAACAATGAATGCCGACGGAGTAGCTGCAGATTGGCCTCTCGAGTTACATCTGCAAGTGTCGTCTGGGGACCACGTCTCACGTTTTCCACAAAGTGCCGAGGATACGTGCTTTCACTGTTTTGTGGCCAGATCACACTTGACCTGCTTCGGGGTGCTTCTCGTGATCTCCACGGAACATTCCGTGGCGTCAACTCAATGGAAAGGTCCGGCACATTGCTGCACTTGATTGCAACATCTGCCCTAGGGATTGACCCCGCCTGTTTCATGGGTGGAACCACTATCGACGCTGGCAGTGGCATCGTGCTCTTCTGCCATCGCGCCACCCCACGGAACCTCACACAGGCGCCGGTGCTTCCGCCAACATGCGTTCCATGTGCTCGACAACCACTGCCTTCAAGAGCCGATGTCTCTTTCTGTCGCGCAAGTGGCACGGTCGTGTGTCGCTTGAACCGAGCGGACTGCAGAAACACAACCGGAGCCTGCATCCACCACCCTCGGTCGTGGCTATGTCTCTGGCACCAGAACATGCATGGTCCTGTTCCAAGATGCAGGTATATGCAGGCGATGTCTCACTCTAAAATGATACGTATATCTTTGATTTTATAGGTGTGGGTATAGTCTGCACATCGCCTCAAAATGAAGACAAGTATCTCGTTGAGTGATTCATGCATAGATTCGAACAGGATGCAAGATTTTTGCCAAGTATCTACTGAGTGCAAGTCACGTAAACATAGACACCATGCCCCCCATCACTCACAACAAGTCGTAGCACAGCTCAACACGCAAGCAATAACGTCGAAACGGCACTCCGTTCGTCATGCTTCGTGCGCTCGCTCAAATCAACAACTTATATTTGTCCAGTGGTTCACCGAACCTCGAAGCAGCTTCCTTACGTCCCTCGAAAGTGCAACACCGAACCACTGCACTCACGAGGCCATGAATGTTTTTTTGGTTAGGCTCCGAGGCCGGCCCAGACGGACAGCGACCTTGCTACATCGTCTATAGACTATGTTGTCACGCAGTCCCAAGCATGTTGCTCTCAACTTGAGCATGTGGACATGGGCCCTTCTTTGTCCCCATGCTTTCGGTTCTTGCGCGCTGCAACCTTGCACCCAGTGTAGTCAGCCTCGCCCTGCAAAGCGAGCACAGCAGAAGTGTGGCAAATCAGCCCTTGACAGAAAGCAGAACCTGTCATCCGTTTTGCAAGCAGATCAATGACGAAAGTGTAGTGGTCGCAATACTTACCAATGCCTTTCTTAGGGCTCCTTCAGTGTCTTTCTGTGCGAATAGATTTACCCAGAAACCCTATTTGCTTGCTCTATCGCCTCTGTTCTCATCCAAAACCCTATTCAAATTACTAGGGCCCCGCTCGTACCGATACGGCCTGGCCGTGCGGCTGAAGACCTCACAGCTTTTGTGGATCCAAGGGCTAAGACAGGATAAGAGCGAGGGGTCGGGGCTGTTAAAGACCCGTAGGGTTTCAGGTTTAAGGGGTTTTAAACATGTAGGGTTATAGGGTTCAGGGCTAGGGTTTAGGTGTCCCGCTTCTTCTGTTCGGGGCCTGTCTCAGTCTAGGAGTCGGTTTTAAAGCTCAGGCGCTTCTCAGGGGCTCTCGGCTAGGTTCACAGTCTCAAAATGGAACAGGCACAGCATGCCTGTCTTGCCGATGGGAAGGGTTGTTTCTTCTTTTCTTTGCCGGACTGGCTTCCCAAACAAGCTCCTGAAACTCGAGCACTGGCATCAAGAAGCTATGCCGAGGCGAGCTTTGGCCGCAAGGTTTGGGTGTCTTGTTTCAGGCTCGTTTGTTTGGTCTGGCTGACAGAACTGGAGAGCACAAACAGCAGAAGCAGCACTGACTCACGATCCAAGTCGATGAGTCCCACCTATTGTTGTTGTTACTTCAACAGAGCGGAACCTCTCGAAACCTCTACCTTCTCCCCGTCTGTGAGTGCCCTGCCACAGGTTACGAAAACCCTGATCGAGGATGCTTGGAGTCAGGCGGTGTAGCGTAGCCTTTCGGAAGACCGAGGCTTGGTTTCAGCCTGCAACTCAAGCTCCGGTGCTTTGGGGTGTATTGGGAGATATGGGAGTACAACGCGATACATCTTGTAAACATTCTGCATTGTGCTACTTGTACCTATTTCATGCACTTGAGTAACAGTGTTTCGGGTATGTTCGCCTGCCATATGTCAAAACACAAAGCTCTTTGCCCAAGTTGTGGTCGCGTGCCGCGGCGTCGCCTCAGCGGCCACAGCTTTGGCGGCCGATGCCTGATCAGGGACCCTATAAAGTGGGTCACTATGCACTACCCGCATAACTTGGACAGCAACCTATTGAAAAGAAACTGGGCTTCTGGGGGTAACTACTATTTTGGCCGAGGCATCGACCCGACATAGGACAAAACGAACGAAACAACGTGCGATCGCTGGCTACAAGTAGGACAGAGGCGATGGGAATAAAAGCTCATATGCTCATGGACAAATATTCCATCCCTTTTTCAAGAAAAAACCTCATGAATGTCCCGAGCAGAACAACATCCATAAGCCAGGCTACTGGAACACCCAGGGCATCGCATGAAAGGAAGAGTTTGCCCTATCGAATTTAGCCTGAGCACATGACCGGCACCGACATCTCAAAAAGATGACCTGATTCTGCATGTCAATCCGAGGATGGCACATCCAACTCCACCCTGTCGCCGGAGTTCGGTGCCCTGGCGAAAGCTTAAAAGGCATCGCTCGTTCGAGACAGGGGCGGGGAGCATTCTATGACTCTTTTCATCGAGCAACAGCAACACCACTTAGCACGGGCTCTTGTGTGTCAATGCGAGGTTGCTGTTCAGAACCATGTCTGTGGCCTTTGCTGAAGACCTCAGATAATGCCGACCCAGCAGCTCTCTGGGTGAAGCAATCTCAAGCAAGAGTCGATATGAATCATGTACACAACACCTTAGTCAATCATAAAGGCGCTTATACTAAACCTGTATAGAATCTCCCCCCACGGAAACGAATTAGTTCAGGCCACTATCTATTTACATATACGTATATGTGTGTATATATACATACATATATATATATATACATACATACTATTTTCTGTTATTTTTATGGAGAGAGTGCTTTAGGTGGCTGAGCCCGGCGTGGTCCCGTCCGGGGTGGCGCACAGGGTGGCAGCGTGCTGCTGTCGGCTGGGACCTGGTGCAGCAAGGCAGCTTTCGGGTTTAGGGCTTCGGGGTGTCTCGTTGTGTAGTCGCTTCGTATTTTTATTTGCAGACACTGCTTATTGCAGCTGTAACGGTATATATACATGTATATATATATATACACATATGTATCTGTACAGTATACAACTCTATCCGTCCATCCATCCATCCATCCATCCATCCATGCATCTATCCATGCATGCAATGCACGTACATATCCATAGATAGATAGACAAGATTAGATCAGGTTAGCTTAAATTAGCTTAGATTAGATTAGATTTAGGCTAAATGATTTAGGTCAGGTTAGATTAGATTAGATTAATGTGTGTAACTGTATGTGTATATATATACACATATCTACTAGTTGTACACCCCACCGAAAACATCGTGAGCCAAGCTATGCCTTGACATTGCACTGCCACCATTCTCAAACCGCGATGCAAAGAACTCGCTTCTAACACATTGTTCCAAAAAAAGCACCGTGGAGTCTCCATCACAAGCCTGTCTGTCGCAACCCAACACCAGTTTCCAAGGCAGTGACAGCCGAGCTTCTGCAAGAGGTACGTGGTGAAATTTCCTGCCACATCGTAGCAGCGTTGCGGATCTTCTTGTCTTGGGGTCCCGTCAGCAGGACCATACTGTAAGTTCCATGGTACATGTGTTGTTGCTATCAGACTGTCGGCTCCGGCTCGCCGGGCCTGAGCCAAGTTGTCGGAAGCTCCTCTGCACCTGCCGCGCAGAGCCGCGGGTTTCTGCCGTCTTGTGGCACTTGCAACCGGGCATGTCCAGGCAAGGTCTGCGAAAGATACCAACAAGTCCAAGTCTATAGGGTTTAGGGTGATCTTCTGAGCGACGACTGTGACGAAGGAAGGATTGTGTCACCGGGGAAGCTCTCGGGTCGTGCCTCTCAAGAAGCAGCCTTAAAACTCGAAGCCCAGGTTCGCTTGGTTGATCAACTCTGGTCGGTGTTAGGCTTCAGGTGTGGATTTAAAGTTGAACCTCCAACTGGAAGCATTGAAATCACTTAAACTGTCGGTGGCCTTAGCTTGCCTTTTCTCGATGTCTTTCCTTGCCGCGGCAGCAGAGATGCTCGAGCTTCAGGGTTCCCGGTCGAGTCCTCGTTCTGCGGGCCTCCACTCATTGCCCCATGGACATTGAACTTTCCGTCGGCGTGCCAGACGGCGATGGCATGAAGTGACTGGTGATGTGCTCCATCCAATGTGGGGAATGTGGTGAGTTAGACCCCATGATCTCTTTCTTGGGGGACGAGATGGAATCCTCGGCCAAGAGATGGGAAAGATCGCCAAGCGTAGTGGTTGATGTAGCATGGGTCTCCTCGCTTGATTCCAT